AAACACAGCGGCCGCCTGCACACACTTCCACATCGGGGATGGAAGGGCTGCATATGGCGCTCCGTTTTAACAGCTGAGCTTTAAAAAAGTGCAGCTTTTCATCTCACTGAACCAGCTCCCAAATTAGGGGGTGGGAGGGGGGGGGCAGCAAAAACAGGGAAGCTGGAAAGGGCAGGGGGAGCCTTCCACAGTAAATTTGATTTTACAAGGAATTCCAGACTATTATCTGCTCAAAAGGTCCCTCTGGAAAATGACACAATATTCCCTGTTTGTCATCCTCAAGTTTGCTAATTTCAAGAAAGTCATTCCATCTTCGAAAAGGGACTTGTTTTTCTTTTTTTCTGTTTTTAATACAAATGAAGGAGTCTATCTAGGAGGGATCACTCACATGCCTCAGATGGGGTTAACAATTTTTAAGTAAATTTGTAAATGGGATTATTGTTTTCCAAAGTTCTGCTCAGCAAAGAGATTAGTTGCCACAATGCCCACGGGGCGTCCCCTGGTCCTTTGAATTCCCTGCCTGGAGGCTGAAGGTGCTTGCCGAGGAACAGGAGGAAGAAGCCTGATAGGGCAGTTTTCCTGGAATTGCCTGGAAACTTTTACTTTCTGTTTCCTCTGCTGATAATGACTGTCTTCGGCTCTGCAGCCAGCTCCCCTCTTCCCCCTCCCAGCCCCCTGTTGCTGCACGCCATCCCCGAGCTCCAGTATAAAGTTTGGCTTTTGCAGCAGGAAGCAGCTGGGCCAAGCAACCAGCGAATGATAATGACCTCAGAAATCTGCTGTTCGCTCGGCAACAATAGGGTGCTCAGTCTACTGGAAAATTGTGTTCATCAGCTAACTCTGCTCAGTTACTAATTGACATTGCCAAATATTTTAAGAACAATTGGAATGCACAAGCAAAAAAAAAAAAAAAATGAAGATCTTAATCCTCAGACTTAAATTTTTTTCTTTTTCTTTTTCTTCCCCCCCTCCTTCTTTGGGGTGCCCAGATTTGTTTGTGTGGAGCAGGCAGTGGTTATCAGGAATGGGGGCAGGGAGGAGGAACCACGTCAGAAAAAGAGGTGGAAAAGAAAGAAAATCTATCATATCACTGTACGCCCAATGTGAATGCAAGGGAGCCCAGGATAAAGGCCTTTGATGCCTTGGTCAATGGGCCTACACAGGATTGGAGACCCAGCATTTCAGGAATGCGGCTCAGGCAACAAAAGAAGACCCCACAAGGCTTCCAGCCCAGCTGATCAAATAATCCTTGACCATCTCAAAATATTATACCAGAAGTAGCAGGGGTTAACACTGTTTTCATCTTTGCATCTCTCCCTGGCTTTCCATTGATCACGTAACTTAGCCGACTTTATTTAATGAACAGAGGGTCAACGCATTCAATTACCCCCTTCCTACCATCAACACTTCAATTAGCCCCTCTCCAAAATTATGGGGAATGCAGAAGGTAACTGCCCTGTTGGATATAATGAACAGTATCGTTTCTTAGTACATTAAGTTTTAATTATTCTGAGCGTGATTTCCAAGGCAAAACCCAAAGAAACAGAACTTTGGTCGTCTTCTGGCTCAGAGTAAAGCTCAGAGCTGAGCACAGTCTTAGTCGAGGTTTTAGGGAGAGATGCAGAGATTAATGCCATCGGAGCGTTTGCACGCAAGCCAGAAAACGAGGGAGCGTCAAAACAGCTTTCTAAATGTCATAAAAGAGTAAAAATTTATAAGCTGCTGCTTTCCAAATAGTTTCCCTTTGCGCCGTACACAGAGGCAGAAACAACATCTACGATGGTGTGAAATTACTGGGAAGTCAAATCAACAACAACAACAACAAAAATAAAACAAAGGGGAAAGATGGGGAAGTGATCCATGTGACTGGTTTTGTCCATTTTCTGTTAGAAAATATGACCTCTCAATTTGTCAAAGGTCCTAGTTTTCGCGGTTGATCTTAAGCTCGGTTCTCAGCAGTTTGGAGAGCCAAAGAACAAACACATTTTCTGGTTCACTGGAATCACTTTCACATGTTCACTGATTCAAACATTCTTTTGCTCACATAACAAACAGCTGCATCCCACATTAGCCTAGCCAGTGACAGTCGCCCATCTCGGCAGTAACTGTTTGATTGCAAACTTGACCCCTTCTTCGTCTCGGTCTGAGCAAGACATTTTTAAACAGCCACTCCGTTCCCAATCCTCCTTTGCAAAGAATTACATCAGATAACAAAGGACGTCTCTGCCACTCATTGTAAGCCTTCTTCTGGAGATCTGTTCTAAGAGGCTCTCTGTAAAAAGGTTTTTTATGATGAATTCAGAACTACTATCATGTTAAGAGCAGCGATTTATAAAGAAGAATTCACTGGTTAAGATCTGAAAAAATAGTTTCTCAGGCCCTACTGACCCAGTTTTCAACAAAAAAAGAATCAAGTGATGCAAATTAAGTTTTGCGACATTGTTATGCAGTCTGAGAAATTTGTAAAACCGTGTTTTGCAGTTATTTCTTAATAGAAGCCTTAATAAGTACTCCTTTCTTTACTTAAGGGCTTAAAGATTTTTTTTTCCCCCTTCACCTTGCAGGTTTCTCTCTAACAGGTAATAATAAAAATGCCTATTGTGTCAAGATTTTTATTTAAATGCTTATTTTAATCGCACTCTATATGAGTCATACTTGTTAGAAATCAGAGGGAAGACTAACCAGATTTGGTTAAGGGTCCTAATCCCAGGAAAACCTGAATGCCCCAGGCGTGCGGCTGATTTGGCCTGCATATTGGTATGCCATCAATTTTCCTACTTAGTCGGAAAATTATGAAAGGGTCTAATTTGAATATGAAGAAAACAAAGAAGTCAACCAGAAATGAAAGAATCAGTATTCACAATTGTAAAATACTTCAATGAGGGAAATAAAAGTGAGAAGATAACCACAACTCAAGAATAATTCTCCTTTGAGTTGTAAGCCCGGTTGGTTCTTTTAAGCAAAATGCGTTTTTGCACCAGAGTATTTACAGATATGGAAACTACAGAGATAGAATAGCATGAGGCTATCACTTGGCCAGAAGGTGGGAAAAACATGGTAAACACGTCATTAATAAAGCCGAACATTTGGTGCCGGAATATTCTGCTGAGACCTTTTCATTTCAGCGGGTCTGGGAGAGGGATGAAAATCTGTCAATGTTAACCCCACATCACTCCAAAAACTTAGGCGAGCCAGTCTGCCCTCAGCTTTCTGCCCCTTAAAGGCCCCGGATCCAAAAACAGTGAGAGGGCGCTCCCCAGAACGAGGGACCTCTCCCTAGGAGGGCGGAAATTGTGCCTCCCGACCGAGGGGGGCCCGCCTGGCACTTGGCTGCCCCTGCACGCACGAGAGATCCGTTTTGCTGGAGTTCCTGCCGTCAGGCTGGGGAAACTCGCACACCCCTCCCTGGCATCTCGTACGGTCGGTGCAGCGGTCACTCGGCGTGCCGTGGCCTCACCCCTCCGCGGTGCTCGCGTTCCTGGTCAGACTCTGCCAGAGGGCCTCACCAGAAATAAATCGCAAGCGAGTCTAGGACTCCAGGAGTAGACAGTGTGTTTCATGGGTATTTAAACAGCGGCATTAAGTGCTTTCGGAATCTCTGGAATGTGCAGCTCAGATTTATGCGTGTTAACAATTCTTTACTGGTTTGTAATAAGCCCGCAGACTCCCGCTTTATTTTAATACTAATTTTGTCCTGGAAGAAGGGGATGCTGAAGCATGACAATAATGACCAAACTAAACAGGCATCTCCTTAATAACTACGGAAGCCAACTGCTTCCAGTACGAAAATATTTATCGAAACCCAGAAGGGGAAAAAGGAAAAAGAGAGAAAAAAGAAAACTTTACCGAAATGACCCTCACCAGTGTGCCGCCATGCCTTTAACAGTGGGCAATGCGGTGCCTTGAGGTGCCTCAAACTGTCTTTCATTTTCTAGACTTAATGGCTGATTGCAGAAATCAATGTTGCCATTAGTAACAGGGTATTTGTTATGGCATGATTTCCTCTGTTGTTAGGCTGCAGAATGATTACAGTATTAGCGAGATGCTTTCTTTATAAAGGGCTAGAGATATAACTTTCAATTTACCATCCATTAGAAAGGGACTTTGAAAATATGGATGCAGGCAACAAGCTTACCTGCTGTTAGGTAGCGATTTTAATTTAGCTGTCTTCGGCTGGTGGGCTTTTTTTGTTGTTGTTGTTTTTGGGGCTTCTTTTTTTTTTTTTTTTCCCTTTCCCCCAAGCGGGCCAGGAAGCTTCAGCATTTCACAGACATTCTGATGACAGATTTTCTGCTTTGCTATTTTAGACCCCAAAGCTGTATCGCCCGTGTAACACAGTACAATTTAAGACACGCAGTCGTGCATCTGTGTTTCAAACCTCTGTGTTTTTCCAAACCGTCAGAGGAGAGTGGTGTGGTTCTTCAGCTTACAGAGGCCTGGCAGGTGAGGCAAGCTGTAATTTTTGGAAGGGGACGGGAGACAGGTTTGGCCTGGGGGAGGGAGAGTGGGGTGCCCAAGTGAGACAACTGTGGGAACATACTTAGGGGGAAAGATGGTGAGGGTCTGAACTTACACCTTCACATCCATGGATGGAGCCAGAACACCAGCTCCCAGGTTCCACAGACGAGGTGATGACGAATGGGGGGAGGGGGGGAGGGGCATAAAATGGGGTCGGGCAGGCCATTGCTGAGGAAGGGCAGGCTCTACCTGTTGGCGAGCGTACCAACTGGCCATCTCTACCACACAGGAGGATCAACTCTCCTTCCGGGCGGCCAGTGTTCAAGGGAAGGCCAAGGACTCATGAAATGCTAGCCTTCCCTTGAGGCAGGGCAGAAAGGCAAGGTCCACATAGGCTGTGGTCTACAGGACTGACTTGGAAAAGCAGTGAAGGCCCTTCCCGCCCCCCTCCCCGCCCCCCGAGGTCTGCGTGGAGCCAGGCCCCCTGGATGGGGAGAGCCCGCGTACCAGCCGCTCGTCCCCCATCTTCCCTGGCAGCCTACCTGAGGAGGACGGCGAGGAGGGGTGCGGGCTGTCCTCCTGGGCACTCCCGGTCTGGGAGAGCCCGCCGCCGGCCCCGCTCTCCTCAGTGACGTTGGAGGAGCCCGGCGTGGTAGAGCGGCTCACCGACTGGGACTCCTGGTCACTGCCCGAGCCGCGCCGCTCGTCCAGGCCCACATGCAGCCCGTCCTCGTCGCCCTTGCGGTCCCGTTTGTGGACGCGGGAGTGTACGACCACCTGGTGGTAGGTGCGGAACACCCGGCCGCAGTCGGGGCACTCGGTGGGCTTCTCCTTCATGTTCCCGGGGCCCTGCAGATTATAGTCGAGCGCCTGGTTCAGCCCGTGTGACAAAAAATCCCGACTGCCTTCTAAAGGGTCGAGCTTATTTGGCAGGTCTCTCTGATTGCCCACTTTAGTGCTGTGAACCAAATCAGCAGGCATTTTCTGCTTGGAGCCATCTGCTCCCACTAACACGTACTCCCGCTTCTCCTTATCAAACATCACTCCGGCGTTTGCCAAAGTGTCTTCGTGGTTGCGCTGTAGCTGATGCTCTTTAGACAAGAAGCCGTGTTCCATGGCCATGCCCCTGGCCATGAGCTGCCAAGCCTGGTAGCTGTTCACGGGGTCCATCTCGGCAGCTTTGGCAGCCGCCTGCAACCGCTCGATGCAGCTGGATTTCAGCGGCGGCACGAGGTTGAGGCATCCCAGGAGGGAGTGCTTGTCGCCCTCGGGGACACCGTGGGCCATGCTGGAGATAGGGGACAGCAGCTTCCCCAGGACCTCCCGCTCCTTCATGGGCAGCTCCCCTTTGCTGTAGAGCTGGCTGGGCTCGCTCAGGCTGGCTTTGTCCGGGGCCATGAAGCCGCTCTGCAGGCAGGACAGGTACCTGGAATACAGGTTGGCGTGGGCCTCCTGGGACATGCCGCCCACGGGCACGGGCACCTCTGGGTCACTGGGGGACTTGTTCTTCACCGACAGCTTGTTGAGGTGGACCTTCATGTGGTTCTTGAGGAACCAGGGCTCCTTGAAGCGGCGGCCGCAGATCTGGCAGCAGTGCTCGAAGGAGTCTTTGTGCTTCCGCATGTGGCCCTTCAGGAACCACGCCTGGCTGAACACCTGCCCGCACACCTCGCAGCGGAACTCGTTGGCCGACTGCTCCCCGCCGCCGTTGGGGCCCTGGCCCTGCGCCGACTCGGCGGTGATGTGGGCCTTCTCCACGTGGCTGATGAGCTCCTCCTCCTGCGAGGCGGCGAAGTCGCACAGCGTACACTTGTAGGGCTTGTGCAGGATGCGGATGTGGCGGTCCAGCTCCTCGCGCTTCTTGAACTTGCCCTTACAGAAGGTGCAACGGAAGCCGGCGGCCGGGACCACCGCGTCCTCCTGCACGCTGGCCGGCTTGGGTGAGGGCACCGGGTTGGCCGCGTCGGGCACGCTGTGGTTGGCGGGCAGGGCCAGGTTGCAGGTGGCCAGAGGGGCCGGCTGGGCGTGCGGCAGCGGCTTCAGGTCCGGCCGGGGCTGCAGCAGGCTGCTCTTCATCTGCTTGTCCCGCAGGATGGCCCGCTCCTCCAGCTCGTGCAGCAGGCGGTTCTCCTCGCGCACCCGCCCGCGCCCCTTCCCCAGGTTGCCCAGCTTGTGGGTCCGCAGGTGAATCTTGAGGTTGCCCTTCTGCGCCGCCCGGTGGTCGCAGTAGGGACACTTGAAGGGCTTCTCGCCGGTGTGAGTGCGCATGTGCAGGGAGAGGATGCTGTTGAAGCGGAAACGCTTGCCGCACAGCGGGCACGGGTACTTGCGGTTTTTGCGGGCATCGTCCTCGATGTCGCTCATCTGGGACATGATGCCCAGGTTCTGCCCGTTGAGGAACTGCTGCAGGTCCACCCGCCCGTTGAGGCTGGTGTCGACGTCCCGGCCCAGCTGGTTGGCCAGGAGCGCCATCTGACTGCCCATGGGCTGGCCACTCAAGGGCACGTGGGCCTTCTCGTCGAGCGGCGCAGGGGTCTTCTCTTCCGGGTTGGGCCGTGGATGCAGCTCGGGGAAGGCATGGCTGAGCTGGGAGGTGATCTGGTGCAACTTCTGACTCATGGCATACTGGCCGTTGAGGACAGGGCCGCTCAGGTGGGGCTCAGCTTCGGGCGCCGCCGAGGACACTCCAAGGCACAGACTGGCTTCTTCCATCCCTGAAAATAAAGCGAGAGTTCAGATCTGTGCCAGGTACCGTGGCGCAGCGAATCAACAGCGTCAGCTGGGGAGGGATTTGCATTTCATGCCTTACCTACACATAATAATGCGAAGGAATTATAGTCAAAAACAATAATAAAAAGATGAATTATTAAATGCCAATTATGCAATATGGCATTGCTCCTCCAATTTGTTTTGGCGATAGATCGTCTTCCTTGTATTTTCTATTTACCGACTGCAATTATTCATTCACGTTTAAATTATTAATGTTTTACCACTTTCAACACCTAATAACAAATCAAAGGTCTACGTGTTAAACTTTTCCTCCTGTCCCCCTTGTAGCACCTGCACCTGTTGGTTCCGTTCAGAGTTTGCCCCAGAGCAGAATGGCTTTCACTGCAAGACCAGAGACTCACTCGGAACTTTTGTTTCCGGTGACTATATTCAATACATTCGCCAGTCTGAGATGAAAGAGATTATTTTATGATTTGGCCCCCCAAAATAAAAAAAAAAAACCCAATGGCATGATATTTACTGGTACATAATAAAACAAGATAATGTTTTGGGAAAAAATAAAGTAAAGGATAGGCTTTAGAACAATAAAAGGGATTTTGCTTTAGTCAACAAAAAGTGCAGTAATATCTCATTAAGCTGATTAGTATGCTGCTTAGAAACAGTACTAGGTGCTGTAACACATGATTATAATCATAAAAATCCTTCAGTGTTTGCAAGGAAGCATTAACGAGGTATATTAAATTTTAAGGAGACTGCGAGTAGCGGCTTTGCAAACCTCAGAGATTAAGATTTAACCCTTATGTTACGAAACACTGTTATTTTGTCATTTGGTAACTGTGCCCATCAAAAGAAGTATAAATTATCTGGTGATGGAATCTTAGTGGATCGTCGAGACTGTTCATTTTTGGGTGGGGGGCGAAGACTTACACCATTTAATGGGCTCTCCCTGTCCTTCCACTGGCATGATATCCCAGGCAGGGACTTTGACTGGGTTTAAAGAGATCCTTTATAGAACTAGATAAAAACCAATTAAAATCCAGGGATGATGCCATAGGAAGTCTCAACCAAGTTTGAGTGTTTTTAATAACTTTCCCAGTATACAGTAATGAGTACAAATTGTACCTGCAGTATGTGTTTTGCAGAAAATTAGAACTCAAAGCTGTTTGTTAAACACTAACACTCAAAGCTGGTCTGCATAATTGCTTTCAGTGCTCCTCTCTGCCCGCTCCCCAGCCTGTGCAGACCTGCGAAGGCCACACTGCTTGGGGGAAGGGTGGAAGGAACGCCGCGCACGCCTGCCCCCCTCTCCGCATCACAGCATGCGAGGAGCTCAACTTTGAAAGGCAATGAACCCATGCCTGGGTCCTTCTATTTCCAGATCTGTCTTCCAGTTGAAGGAGTCCAAATTTGCTTCCTGCCATTGGAACCGTTTTTGCACATCCCAGTGTTTACATGTGTTGGCCAGCCAGGTGGTCTAGGAGCAGCTCTTAACCCCAGCCAGGACTGATTCCTGGGCCAAGCAGTTCCCTCGGGGGACTGGTGGGGACAGAGCTCAACTGTGCAGGAAATGCATTCAGCCCTGGGGGGTGGGGGGTCTGCTACCTACCAGGCCTCCTGCCAGGCAGACTGCGACTGGCATGGAGGGTCTCCAATGGGAGACCTAGCTTCCTTGGCAAGAGGACAGGGGCTATGAGTCCGTCTTGCAAGGGAGGGAAGAAAAAGACATGAATGTTTATTTGTAGGAGAGAGAAAAACTGCAATCACCGGCTAGCGGTGGCCATGAATGATGACATGGACACCTGCACACATTCGTACACACTTGGTCACTTGTAGAAGAAGAACGCTTCCAAGTCGCCATCTTTCCTTTTTGTTTCTGGTGGCAGTCTACACGGAAATTTTAAAAAAAAAAAAAAGTCCATTTTGGAGGCTGGTCAGAAAGGAGTATTTTGTCATGGAGATTCTTGCATTCATTCACCAAACTTGCTGAGTTCCCTCTGTATGCCAGGCCCTGTCCCTGGCGCTCAGGACACTGTGGTGGACAAGACTGGCCAGCCGCAGGGCTCACAGCACCCACTGACCAGCAGGGAGGAGCAGGCCCAGTGGGTAGAAGTTGCTAAGGCAGGACTGGTGCCTGGAGGACCCCAGGCAAGGACTCTAACAGCCCCCAGGGCCCTCTCTGGAGCCCCTTCTCCACCTTCAAGCTCCATCCAGCTGTGCTGGCTCCTCTCCCAAGCAAACACGGATCATGACCCTGAAGCCACTTGGGAGTGCTCAGAATTCCACCCAACAGCTCTGGGGAAGTTTGGAAAGTCCAAAGCCAACATGGTTGGCCCACGTCCAACGGCTGCCCAGTTGGCCTTCTCTGAAGACATGAATCCAGAAAGACAGGCTATTTTCAGGTTGCTGCTGATGAGCTGAGCCAATTCAGCAGGAGGGAGAGGAGGCTGAATGTGAAATACAGCGAGACTACAAATCAGGCTGGATGAGGGGCATCAAGTTGAAGACCATCCCCCGTCCCCATTCGTGCTGGGTAAGTAACAGCTCAATTTGTTAAATAATGAATATGGGGAGTTTTCAAGTTAGGTTTGGATATAGAACTCTTTTATTATGTTAAAAAAATTTTTTTTCAGTCAACAAAGCTTTTTTAAGGAACTGGTCTTCAGGTGCCATTGCTGAAGCCTCAGCTGAGGAGAGGAAGAATGTTCTAGAATGTGCAAAGGTACAGTCGGCTCCTTGTCCCCTCATGCAGGTCTGAGCTCACATAGCCCCTTCTCACAAAGAGCACCATGCCTCCCTCGTCGGAGGCTGTCACCCCCAGCCTCTCTTCACCCATCACCTTATTTCCTTCTTCACAGCACTTACCACTAGGGCAAAGTTTTGTTGTTGACCTTTACAAATGTGCTTCTTTTCCATGAGGTCATGATCACAGTGGAAGCCTCCAGGCCCAGGGCAGAGCTGGCCCACTGTAAGTTCAGCATTTTCTGGCCAAAAGGATGAATGAGTGAAGAGACTCTATAAACATAGCCCATAAAAGAAAGCTACCCCTGTAAGAGAAACACTCTCCTCCCAACCTCATGCTACCCAAACTCAGCTTTCACACAAGGCCATGAACATCCACTATCAGATTTTGTCAGACTTGGAAGGGTCTCTGGCTAACCTAGAACCTGCGGGTTCAAACACCGCCAAGGGAGAGCCACCCGCACCACCAGCTCTCTCATTATATGTGCCCATGGTGACTATCCCAGGCCCGGACCACCACTGAGCAGCGATCCCCTTGAGAACTTGACCACTCATCGGGGGACCCACAGGAGAACTCAAAATTTTGGCAGAGCTGGCCAGCTCTCAAGGAGATGCTCCGAGGATTACAGCCCTTGGCCCCTCGAGTGAGCCCAGGCGAAGCCCACACAGAGCCCCACTGTGAGGAATGGCCTTGCCAGATGATTATCTCCAAATGTTTGGTGAGCCCCACCACCCCATGATTCCGTGAGCAGGTGCAGGCCCTGCGATGGGTCAGTCATAACCAATACCAGCCGCCTAACTCAGAGCAAGAAAGGGGAGCGTGAGTTCTTGGAAAGAGCATGGGGTAATTGGTGTGCTGTCCCTGGGCCAAAGCAACCCAGGCGGGATGAGCTGGCCCCAGGCCCGGCCTGGGACTCACAAAACCTGGGTCGGCCCCAATTTCTCCAGCCTTGACACTTCACCCATCCGGAATTCATTTACCCCTTATGTCAGTCACTCAGTAAATACTTGCCAGGGCCTTCTATGTACCTGCCATCGAGGGCCTCTGTGGTCCAAGGGGCCAGCACAGGCAAGGCCATCAATAACGGGACGCAATGAAAAGGCTCAGAGAGGCTGAACTCACAGTTTAGACAAAGGAGTAACCACGACGGCTTTGGCATATAGGGGTGTGTGTGTGTGTGTGCATGAGTATGTCTGTGTTGGGTGAAAGGCAGAGATTCCCTAAGCAGTAGCGCTCTAGAAACTTATACAAATGCACACCCTGGAAAACTCAGGGATCACAGATCCCACTGTTAAGGGATTGGATCCCACCGCAGCCCTAAGAGCTCACGGAGCCAGAGAAGTGAGGCTGCCTGCCAGGGCTCGCCACTCTGATGGAAGGAGGTGTTACTCCTTTCCCCTAGCCCTCAGGGAGCAAGCACAGGGGGAGTGCCTTCCCTTTGGAACCACACTATTCCTTCCCAGGCCCTGTAGCGAATGGCTGTCAGTGTCGCAGGACACTTCCTCTGTCCTGATAACTCGGGCAGATGAAATCCACAGGCAGCACCCTTCCCCACACGTGGACAGCAGTACCAGGGAGCACTTGATCCCATGTGCCCAAGCTATCCTTCTCTCCCTGGCCCCAGCTCCAGCCTCATTATCCCACCATCCAGCAGCTGAGGGACCCCCACGAGGAAGCCAGGAGCCAGGACAGTGCTGGCCGTGATCCTGGGCTTAAGGCAATCCCTTCTGAGGAACCTTTACAGTAACTCCTCTGACCCTCCCACCCAGGTAGGAAAACCCTCGGTACAATTAAAAGCAAGTAAACAAACACCCAAACCCTGAGAACAGCTTGCCCCTGGCCTTCAGCTCAGGGCCCCAGCCCAAAGCGTATCAGGAAGAAGATCAATACACCCTGGTTGACTCATGGAAGGAACCGAGGCATATGTAATTTACCTGACTGTGGAAAGAAAGGCAGCCAAGTCTGGACAGTTAGAGGCCACTGTAAACGGCTAAATCGGGTACACTGCGCCCCGCCCCCCACCATGGAAACACTCCAACATTCCACCCCCGTCCTGATCTTGCCTGCTCCCCAGGGTCACGGTGGGGCACTGCTGGTCCTCAAGGCAACTGTCAATATTGACAAAGAACCAGGCATGGGGTGAGTCCCAGCCACCATGGCATTCCTCACCACCATGTGGAAATGCCTGGGCCCCACCTCTGAGCACAGGCAGGGCCCCAGTTGAAAGCTTCTGAAGGCTAGAGG